GGCCTGAGCCCGAGACCCCAGATCGATCTGTGAGGGTCCCAGAGGGCCGAAAGAGGGCGAACACGCTCGTTCTGAACAGCAAACGGCGCTGAGATCTCAGGGCATATAGGGCGAGAGCGATGCCATGATGAGGCTGGCTCAGGATGCCTTCAAGGTCTTCCAGAGTATCTAGCGGAGCAGCCGATTCAGAACATCAGGATACGTAGAACATACTGGACGTTGGAGAACTTGCAACGTGTCATTACCATGACCTCTTGTGATAAACCAAAAAAAGAGCATTTAACCCTTTGCGAGGAAACCTACTCTGGGATGGCCAAAAAGATTAGGGATAAGAAGTTTTTTTTCTGCAGATGTGTCAGACCCCAATCGCCCAGTAGTCTTATCCCTGATGCAAGGATGGGGGCCTCAGTGCGGCCACGGCTTCATCGTGATTGTAGGGTCAGGGGTTCTACTGTTCTCGATGATCTTGCTCCTCCGAGTACAGGCAGGTCAGAACGCTTCGCCACTGCTTGAGCCTGGCCCCCCCCCCCAGGTCGGCGCGCGGTCCTGCCGCCCCACCGCCCAGCTCTGGGACCCGCCGCCCAGCACGACGCACCTCGCCCCACGGAGTGGGGTCCAACGCCGCCGCCGCGTCTAAGCTTACGTCGGGCTTGTCCCCCTTCAGGGGGATTTTCGACGAAAAATATTCGAAGAATACTCCAACATGGGCAAACATATTCAAACAATAATTCCATGACTATTTTTTGACTATTTTTGAATGTTCCCCCTGTAGAGGGACAGGCCCGACTGAAGTCTAAGCGCTGTCGGCGGCGCCACCGCCGCCGTCGTGGCCGCTGGACGCAGAAGGAACCCATGTTCCGATGACTGTGTACGGCAGGTTCGCGTCGTGTTGATCAGGGCGTTGATTCCTGACACCGCGGGGATCGTTCAACCTCGAACGATCGGCCGTTTCCGAAGCGTCCGAATCGTTCCACATCGAACGACTCTGGGTCGCCCGCGGCGTTCAAAAAGTTGAACGCCGCCGGCAGGGTCGCCGCCGGTCGACACGACGCGAACCTCCTGTATCCTGCACTCCTGTATCCTGCACAGCTGTGACCTGGAGCTCGGATCCCTGGCTGCTCATGGTCGCCGTGGCCGCGTCTGTCGCAGTCCTCGGGCACCGGGGGCTGCCCTGCTGGGCGTGCCGTGCGCAGCCCGCGCCGACGGAGCTGGGACGGCCGCAGGGAGGGGAAATGCGAAGCCTCCCGACTGGCAGCGGTCGACCAACGGCCCCAGACGGCCCCAGCGGCTCCCAGGGCAGCTTCGGAAGATCACGAGAGCACCGCCCCTTCTCCGACGTCCTTTTTCTCGGGCTCCTTACCTTCGAAGAAGAATCAGCACATGAGCATAAACTTTCGACGCTCCACGCGGATTTCTTGGATCTGAGCTGGGGGCCCAGCGCAGATCCGAGAAGTCCACGCGGCCGTCCGAAAGTTTATGTCTGTGTGTTTGTTTGTTTCCTCGAAGCGCGTCCTGTGCTCTCGCGGCCCGATGGCAGTATCAACCCTGCGAGGCGCGCGCCCCCGAGCGCACGCGCCCAACGCCTCCTTCCCTGACGCGCTCTCGCGGCGCGACAGCCACCCGCGCCCCCGTGGCGCCGGGTGCCCCGCCGCGTTGCGGGCGCCCGCAGACAGCGGAAGCGGTGCACAAGCGCAAGCGCTGGCACTGCGCTGCCCACCCGCAGGCCGCCGCGCCGCCGCGTCGGGAACGCGGGGCGGACACGGCCGCCGACCCGCCCCGCGCGGACGATCGCCGCCGCGCGCGGGCTCGTGCCCGCCAAATGACATGCAATCGATGGCCCCGCAACAGTGGCGAAACAACCCCGGGGAGAAGACGACCTTGACCCGGACGACGGCGAAGACGGCGACTGATACGCCTGCAACGACGACGGCGACGACGAGGACGATGATGGCGATGTGGCCGAACGCGAACGCGAAGACGACGAAGAGGCCAAATACGAAGAGACCAGCGGCAAGGACGCCGATATCGACAAGGACAACGACGGCCAAAACAACTCGCACGACTCTGAGGACGACGATGTCGACTTCGATCACACACGGAGGGGAACACGAGGATGAGGGAAAAGAGGTGGACACCTGAGCATGAGAGACAGACACAACCAGCTACAAGGAATATCAACATAACGACAAGGAAAAGGAGCAGCAGCAGGAGCAGCAGCAGCAGCAGCAGCAGTGGAATAAGGAGAATCAGAACGGCAAGCGAAAAGGAAACGACGGTGACGACGGGGATGACAACGCACTGTGGAGAGCACGGGAGTTGGAAGAACACTCAGCAGGGAGGCAGCACCAGCCCAATCATGGAGCATTCGAAGCATCAGCATCAGCACAAGGAGAAGCAGAGCGACGAGGAAAGAGGAGCTGCAGGAGGATGCCACGAAACAAGCAAACGGTCGGACCAGCCAAACAGAAAGACCCCAGAGCTGCAAATGTCACTGCAACGACCTTGCAGACGCGCTGCGGCGGATCTTTGCGTGGATTGCTGCCACTGCATAACCCCGAAACCGCGAGCGAAAAACGATGTGAATTTCACGTAGTCTCCACTCCCAGCCAAGAGAAATCCGCACGAAATTCACTTCGAGATCCGGAGCGAAATTCTTCAGGACAACCCAGGCCCATCCCGGTGTCTTCCGACCGAAAGATCCGCTCTGCGATGCTGGCGCCATGGGCGCGTGGGCAGACGGGCAGGCCGCTATAGACGGCTCACGCCAGACCAAGACCAGATCAACGCTGATGGGCCTGTATTCCACCACCACCACCACCACCATAAGTTGGAAGGTGAGGGGCGCCTCCTCCTCCTCCTCTTCGTCCTCCTCCTCCTCGTCCTCCTCTTCCTCTCCC